TGGATTTTCTCTATAAATCTTTTCTAGTTATTCAATGATTTTTTCTATATTCATTTCTATTCCTATTTTTAGAACCTTTTTATATAGTATTCTTTTATTTTTTTATTTCATTATATAAAATTGATTTTTTCTCCCATTTATCACCACGCTAGGTTGACTGAACTCTATAAGGTTTAAATTCTCTAGGAATTTTTAATAAGTGTCTACAAGGTATTTGTAGTATTATCATATAATTATTTTGTTTGTAATATTGAAATTGTTGTATGAAGTCATTTCCTAATAATATATCACATTCTAATTTATCATATTTATAAATTTTATTTATTGTTACTTGTTCACTTCCAAGAATTATATTAATTTTATCAGTACTATTAATTATTTGAGTACTTTCTCCTATAACTCCAGTTATTTTTATATTATTATTATTATTCCATGATTTTATTAAAAATTTTTTAAATATTGTTATATCATTTCATGTATCTATTAAAGCACGAGTTATTATATTTGTTTCTACAATAGTAATTTGTATATACACATCTAATGGAAAATTTATCTGATTATTCATCTAATCCTTTTTATATAATGTAGTCTGTCCATTATGAACAATATATAATCTTTCTCTTTTTATACTATAATCTTCTAATCTATTTAGAAAACTCATTCCTAAAAGTATATGGGGATTTATATTCATACTTTTATCTATATAACATGGTACCAAAAGATCTATTCCTCCTTTTTTATTGATACCTTAACTTTTAAATCTGTAATATGTACTTGTCCATCAAAATTTGCGTACTTATATGGCTCAGTTTTATTAGTCATTAGACCTTTATTTCTAATTGAAGTTATACGACATTCACTAACTCATGTATTTATTAATATATTTGGTCCATTTATATGTTCTCTTCCATTATAATATTCTCCTTCTATTTTCATATTTTCAGCATTTCTATACAATTTTATTTCTTTTACTTTGTTGATTTCTTCTAACTGGTTTTTATTAGATATTCTAAAACTTTTTGGTCTTTTAATTAATTTTCTATCCTTAAATACAATATTATTAGAACTTTTTCCTTCATTTAATTCTGTTAATTCAAGTTTATTTTTTGTTATGCTAAATTCATATTCTTCTAGAATTAAACTTATTTGTTTATTTGGTTTTATTATTTTACTAATGTCTTTACATTCTTTATGAATTTCAATATATGGTTTATTGGAATAAATATTTCCATAGTTAGAATTAGTAAATGTATATAAAGCTCTATATTCTATAGTCATTATTTGATCACCTGGTTGCATGATATCATCTCTATGAAGTTTAAAATGTAATCCTAAAATTTCATTAAAGTATCTATCTTTTAATGATACACAATCTTTTGGATAACAAGTAAATATAATTTTTTGATATGCTAAATTTTTTTCTATTGTTTCTAAATGACTATCTTTTAAATTTATTATTCTTCCATCATACAAAGTTATAGTTAAGGGTGAATCTATCCATTCTCTAAATAGTGATTTAAACATTATTTGTATTCCTACTAAATAAACATATTGGATTTTTTCTCTTTGTTTTTTACTAATCTTTGTTAATAGTTCTTCAACTGTATTTTTTGTTAAAAGATATAATTTATGTTGCTCATAAGTTATTCTTACATCTATGATTTTTTCTATTTTGTGATATTCATTTATTGTTATTCTTTTTCTTTTCCAAATTCTATCAAAAACTTCCCATTTTTCAATTTTTAAGTTTAACGATAATTTTTGCAATTTTCTAAACTTCTCGTTATCAAAAGTGACTTTTAATCCATATCCTTCTATTACTTCATATTCTTGTATATCTATTTTATTACTTTCTATTTCTTGAATTTTTCTATTCAGATCCTGATTCATCATCTGTTTCACTTATATATACTTCTTGATTATAGTATTCTTCAATATCTGATATTTCACTTAATTCATCTTTTATTTCTAAATATTCTTTTTGTAATATTCTAATTTTCTTTTTATCACAATCATCGCTTATATGACCTATTTCTCCACAATTTCAACATTTATATTGGCTTTTATTTTTCTTTTTATCATTCTGTTGATTATATGGGTTATTTTTTCTTTTATAATATATTCTTCTAGGTTTTATATATTTTTTATTAAATTTTTTATTTTTAAATTTTATTTTATTAATTCTTCTTTCAGGATTATATTCCTATTGCACGGGGGTTTCCACATCTTCACAACATATTTTAGTTAATTTTCCTAATTTTTTCATTAATTGTTTTTATTGGCATATATATGTAAGTCTTTCAAATAAAAATTTTATTCTTGAACCTAAAGTTCTAGGTATTCCGATATTATCTCTAACATATTTATCAAATTCTATTTTAAAATATATTCCTCATGAACCTGGTAACTTATTATAGTACATGTCTTGGTAAACTTCCTAATTTTCATTACTATAAAATTGAACATAATAGTAATTTTTAAATTCACAAGTATATTCTTTGATTTTACACATATCAAATATTGTTAAATTTATTAATTTTATTCTATCATTATCTTTTTCTCTTATTAATTCTCTTTCAACGTTTCTTATCCAATTTTCTCCTAAAAATACATTTGAAATATATTCTACTAATTTTTCTATACCTCGTCTATCTGACTTGATTATTTCTATTTGTACATTTCTTTTTATTAATATTTTTGTGTCATTGTTTATTCCTTCACACCAATTTCTAACATCTATTATTCTTTCAGTATTTTTTCATGTGTCATCTTTATTATATAAAAAGAATAATATCATTGAATCTGCCCAAATTAATAAGGATTTTTTAATATTTATTTTACAATCTAAATCTAGTTTTTTCCTTCATGATTAATTGGTTTATCATAATTATCATTTAATTGAAACCTATCTTTATATTTATTTCATTTAGGTGATTGTCTATCTCTTACTTTATCATAAAATTGTCTATATGGTTTATTATATATAGGTGCATAACTTTCATTTGTATCATGTAATTTCTGTTTAGATATTCCTGCTGAATTAGGTCCTCCTCTAGTATTCATTAAAATTTGGTATTAACTTATATCAGTTAAATTTAATTGATCAAAATTTTCTATTAGTAAATTTAATTCATCACTCATTTTTTTTCCTTCTACTTTTAATTTTCCTAATGATTTTTCTCTAGATTCTTCTTCTTATAATATTTTTGGTAATATATTCATCATCCATACTTCCGTTTCTATTACTATATTCTCTCTTTCTATATGTTTCTTTCATATTCGAGTCATTTCTTTTTCTATAAGGGTGTATTTGATTACATTTATTTTCCATGAAAAATATCAGTTTTTCACCCAAATTCCTAATTGAAATGTTTGATTGCTAATTTTTTCTATGAATTTTTTTTTCAACTTTTGAAAATATGCCTAATTTTTCTTGTTTTTAAGGAAAACATTTTCCTTGGGTAGAGGTAGTTTTTATTTTTCACAAAAGATGGAAAATATTTTATTTTCTAGGTAATATTTTCTATGTCAATCAAACAAACTCTACGTTTTTTTATCTATTTTCTTATCTTTATTTTTATTGTTTTCTTTTAATTCTCTAATTTTAATTTTTAATATATTTATGTCATTTATTGTTTCTTTTACTTCATTTCTTAAATTTTGTACATCATTTATTAATATTTTTATTAATGATTTTAATTCTTCCATATATTCACTCATTGACATCTTAATTTTTTCTTATTTCTAACTCATAGATTAATTTGCATCTCTTATCTTCCTTTTCGTCTATTATTTTTTCAAATCTTCTCTCAGCCGTATCTGAATCTACTAATTCTTCTTTTACTATAATAAAATATCTGCTCAAAAGTCTTAATTTTAATAATTGTCTATTATTGGATATTCTCATTTCTTCTGATATTATCTTTTATTTTTTCTATTATTAAATTTTATAATATTTGTTCCTTTATTTCTTTAGGCATTTCTTTAATTATTGTTAGTATCATTATTTTTAATTTATTATGAATAGGTTTTAAAAATATATAACTACCTCTTTCTTCTTCTAAATGTCAAGAATTATCTATTTTTCTTATTTTAATTTTCATGATCTCTATGGCCCTGATACCAATAAAGGAAGTGCTACTTAGAGCGAACAAAAATCAAATAAATTGGTAATCTATTAAAATTCAAGCAATATTTAATTTTTTAAAGACTAAAATGAAAGATTTATATATTTTATTAACTTATTATTATAAAAGGGGTATATTGGGTATCAAAATTAGCCAAATGCCATTTTGGAAAAATGGCCTCTTTGTTTGGGTCATTTCTATGTATTTCTTCATTGCCTGTCACATTCTTCAATTCATCTACCTACTTAAAATTAATTTTCAATGGAAAATCGTAGATGGAGAAATAAAGGTTGAAAATAAAATATATGAAAGAAAATATAAATTAAAAAAATGAACGGCAATTTTCTCGCTAATATTTAAATCACTCCCTTGTAATTCATTGCGTAATATTAAAAAGTGACACAATATAACTTTTTACAAAATATATAGATATAATGTCACTTTTAAAAGTTAAGTGTCACTTTTATTAACAAGTGGTATTTGCCACTAAAAAAAGTGATAGAAATCAAGAAGGTGACAAACACTACAACAAATTTCAAAAATAAATAAATAAAGTAACAAAATTTTTAAAAAAAAGTGACAATAACTTTAAAAAAAAAGAAAAAGTGATAAAAAATAAAGTGGCAAATTATAACCCACAATTTTCAATATAGCCAAATTATTCAATAAGTTCACAATTGATACAATGAACACTGGTAGTTAAATCACAAGCGCATCAATAACAATATGAACATAAGAATTTATAAGTTGGAAGTGATGAAAATTCAAAAAAGTATCAAACAATAAAAAAAATTAACATAATATTTTACATCTGTAGGATGTATTATTTTAGTCGTTAAGCCATCGTATTTCTTGATAATACTTGAATGCGTGGTCCGTGTGTCCTTCGTTGCAGCCTTCATTATCCCTCTCTTTCCGTAAAATATTTAAGGAATCATTTTGTATATCAATATTTTCAAGCCATCGTGTTCTTTCGTATCCTCTCTCATAATTTCTTGATTTTTTCTGTGTTTTTGGCCTGGACCAGTATATTGAGCCCGGAATCTTGTCCTAAATTTTTGTAATATAATGAAGTTATTGATGATGAAGTACTAAGATACCCAAGAACAACTTAGGCATGTGACACGTGTACCTCCATCTACAATCCCATCTTCGCCTTCAGCTTCTCTGTAATGGCTATCATTTTCCACTCTTCGCTTCCCCCAAGTCCCCATGCTCAATCCCGCATCCCCCTTTCAAGGCAAGCATGCACCTACCCACCCCACCTCAACCCTCCCTCAGATATGTATGTATATGTGTGAATATATAAATGTTTTCTACTTGTATTTAACTGTTTTCGCGTGTTTACAGGAACGTTAGGATCTTCAACTGTGTCTCTCTTGACCAAACAACCAGTGCTTCCTCCACCACTGCCTCTTCCGCGGCAACTGACAGCCTGCGGGTTGTATTTGCTGCCGGGGGCACTGGTGGTCATATATACCCAGCGTTGGCTATAGCCGATGCGCTCAAATCGCTGAATCCCAAAACCCAATTTCTCTTTATCGGAGCCCCCAAAGGAATGGAGGCAAAGGCTGTGCCATTTTCCGGCTACCCTTTTACCGCCATCCCTGCGGCCCCTTTGGTCCGCCCTTTATTCTCCCTCAACAATTTTTTCATCCTCCCTTTCGTAATCACGAAATCCACATTTAAAAGCTATAAAATTCTCCAAGAATTTAATCCCCATATTGTCATTGGCACTGGCGGCTTTGTTTCATTCTCCACCTGCCTTGCTGCAGCCCTTAAAGGTGTTAAGCTCGTAATCCAAGAGCAAAATTCTGTGCCTGGGATTGCAAATTCCTTGCTTTCCTTATTTGCTGATATAATTTTTGTGGCTTTTGATTCAACCGTGAAGTCTTTTCTGCGGAGGAGTAAGTGTGTGGTGTGTGGGAATCCAGTGAGGTTGTCATTGATGAAACAAGTTTCTAAGACTGTGGCCAGGCAGCAATTTTTCCCAAATGTGGCTGCAAAAGAAGGGTTGGGGGAGGCCGTGGGGTTTGGGGAGGCGAAGGTCGTTTTGGTGCTTGGAGGGTCATTAGGTGCCCAGACGATCAATTTCACACTGTTGAATTCATGTTATCAGATGCTAAACGAGTGTGAGGACTTGTTTATTATTTGGCAGACAGGTGTAGAAGCTTTTTCTGAGATGGAAAGCCTAGCGAGGAACCATCCCCGAGTGGTCCTTACTCCGTGAGTGGTGCATAACTTTGACATAAATGCAGTTATTTCCTAATTGTCAGTCTATTTAGAAAGTTTGTTCCCTCATTTTATTGCCTTTAAACTATGTGTATAGTGTGTATAGTGAGAAAGACTGAACACACATCAAAAAGGTGTATAAACAAAACTTGATCACTTGTATATTCATTAATATATGCATATTTTTCATTTTAAATTGAAGATATCTATTTTTGTTATTTGGAGCTGATATAGCTCTAACACGATGCAGGTTCTTGCCTGCTTTGGATTTGGCATATGCAGCAGCCGACCTTGTCGTTTCAAGAGCCGGTGCAATGACATGTTCTGAGATCTTGGCCACTGGGAAACCTTGTATTTTGGTATTGAACTATCTATATTTCTCATGTGTGTATTATTTGGAAGCACTGTGCCTCATACTTGCTGTTTTTAAATTCGGGAATACAAATATTTTCATACTAGTGATCCATTTAGTAGCAAGATAAGATGGAGGAATGAAAAATCTATCTGCAAAGATTTCTTTTGGTCTACAATCTGAATTTAATGATTCGGAAAGAGAGAGAGAGGCAAGTTTGCCTATGTTTACCAGTTTTTATATCCATACAGTTTATAAATCAACTATAATGCATTCCCTCATATCCCAAATTGAGTTCCTTTTAGTTTAATACAAATTCAATAAGACTCAAAGGCATTTATCCTTCTATATTTCTTTATCTCTATCTGTGTATGATAATGTCAAATATGGTGCCACCAGTTTCCATATTGGACTATGTACAGCATTCATAAAGTTGGGATATATATTTTAATATCCTAAAGATCTAATTAAATTACTTCCACCAGAATGTTTATGATTGAGTGTACCCAGGAACTGATAATTTATTTGGCACTTCAAAAGCAAAGCAATCATTCATCAATTCTTAAGAATCTAGATCTCGTGTGCCATTATTGCGTAATACGCAGTTATTATGGATCTGACTACCTGATTTGATGATTTAACTTCCTTTGGAATTATGCAGATACCATCTCCTAATGCTGCTGAGGGATATCAATTCAATAATGCTTCTCTAATGGCCGATTTAGCTGGTTCAAGGGTAATAATGGAAGATGAACTTGGCTCGACAACTCTTAGAAATGCTATTCAAGAAATGTTAGGTATGATAATTTTTCCGTCTGTGTCGATAAGTGTTGTTTCTTAAAACAATGCATCTTATATAGACTACATTAACCTTTGCTTGCATTGGTTTTCCTGTGCGCTTGTTTCTCTCATTTTTGACATTTGGGAATACAAGTTCTCTGATCATGCACTTATTTTTCAAGGATTTCATGTAAAACAAGTTCATCATTTTCACCATGGTAGAAAGACCATTTTACACTCATATTTGATTATCTTCTGATGTTTCCATTATGAATTTGCTTTTTGAGTTTCTGCTCAGGTCATAACTGTATTGTATTTTCATTGACTTCTGAAATATGCTTCAAACTGTTCCATGAATAAGATAAGAGTAAGGGATACTTAACTTTGAACCCTTGCAGAATGTTGGGCTCTTGAAATACCTTTTCTCTAAGCTCTTAGAAAGAAAAAATCAATTATTTGATTGAAGGTATTTCTTATATATCATATTCAAAGGGTCCTCTAGAGCGGGAAGGTCTCAGAATGTATATATCATGTTACCATTTTGCAAAGTCCTAGAAACTTCTGGACAGGCGTCATCAGATTATATATCGTGTTTCCACCTGGCAGAGTACTCTAAATAGTGTGGAAGGGAAGAGAGAAAGCAATAAATAGTATGGATGGTTCGGGGATTTCTATGACCTGAAAAAAATGAAATCAACGAATGCATAAAAATCTTAATATTTAAGTGTGCCGGTTGTGCCCTGTTCCATTTTTATTTCATGAGACTGTCTGGGTTCCATGTTAACATATTTGTTATATGATAAACGCGTATGCATAAATTCTTCACTAGACCAACAGAATTAACCAGGAAGAGGACAGAAAATAATTAAACAGATCTCTGTGCCCTGTCAATGTTTGGTCTGATTGTACCACGTTCGAATGACCAGAAGGTTTGATCCCACTTGAACCATTTTACCCTTGACCCTCTTTACCTTGTCCAGTTCAATGCCCAGGTTGGTTTAAAACATTGCAAAAACATTGAAGTTGGTAACAATGGGAATTACAAGTTGCATGGTTGAGAAAAGGAGAGAAGAAGGAATGTTGTCCTGAAGGTATCCATTTATAGGATCGATTTTTTGATGTTCATAATAAAATTACAACTTCTAAACCATTCATTTGTGTGCCATTTCTCTGCAGTTTGTGCTTGTTTTCCTTTACCTACAGCTTGCTCAACCATCATCCTGTGTTTGCTCTTTTATCTCGATTGCTTAGCTCTGCAAGCAGAAACAGGACAGTTCTACTCTCTTACCAGATTTGCGGGTGGAAGCTATTACACTGCTGCACGATAGATAAATGAAAAGAAACTGCAATAGTTTTGGAGAGAGATAAGCTTTTTTAAGTCCACAAAGACTTAAGACACCTTGTTTACTGTGTGGGGCCTAATCAAACTGTACACTTTTCTGATTGTCCTCCTTGAATCCAAGGTGAATATTTTAGGTGTATTCTGGGTTTAGAGGTATATAAGGTATTTTACATTTGTAATGGGTCATCCTAACACTCCTATTATCTATGAAAGATATTTAGGTGGCTGTTTTATGTGAGACACAAACTGAAAGGCATAAGGATCAACCTTGTGATTTTCTTTGTATCAAAAGCCTACATAGGTGAATGGTAGATTTCACATTAAGGGTGAATTACTTTAAATTTGTGTGGCTTGCTTGTTTTGTGATTGCTTTTCTGATTATTATTGCTGTAGAAAGTAGGAAGTAGGGTTTAATCCATAACATTCCTACTAACAGATTTCACTAGAAAATGTGAAAGGAGAACAGAAAACCAAGGCTACCTTAGTGCCGTAAGAAGAAAATTCCCTTGGTGGGTATCTTAAATCCGTTTATACCCGATGGCGCCCTTGTTGGTCCATGTCACCTGGTTACGTTTGTTATTCTTTTTTTTCCATCTGCTTTGGCAGGATAGGACTCATTAAGTCTATTGGTCCCTATAGGAACTATAAGTCCACTTGGAATTTTATTTCTACCTAGTCTGTATTCAAGGATTCTCCCTGAATTTCTTTTTCTAAGAACGACAAAGGTAAGGGTATGGTGCAAATGGAGATTAAGAACAATGTCTGGTTGGTTCACAAAGCAATAATTGCTTGGTTAACCCTCAACCTCGCTGGATAATGCTAATGACCATTCTCTCAAATCTAGTTAAGGAATCTTTTTGAAACAAGTAAATAGAACTAATATGAGGGAAGATCACACTTGAGGCACTTAATAATTGTCATGTATTTCTAAAAGATATTGAAGGCAAAGAAAGTAACCAATACCATGACGATGAATAGGGGGTCCCACATAAAAATCTAACTAATTGTAAACAAAATAATTAGCCAAAACTCTAGCAGGCTTATCAAGAGCCTTATTAGGAATCCTGGTTTTCCTGTATTACTTTGCTCTTCGTTTTCTTCAAACAGCTATTGCGCGTATTCTATGCTTTGAAAGGGACCTAGCAGTCCTTGCATGATTAAAATAAAATAAAACAGTTTTCTGTTTGTGATAGGTAAAGACATATTGATTAAAATAAAATAAAATAAAATAGTTTCCTGTTTCTGATAGGTAAAGACATATTTGTATACGCTTGTATACACGAAGAAACATAAACACACACCACATGCACAAAATAACATTTTTTAAAGCCAGAAAGCCATTACAGAGAACTTTGCTAGGATGTTTACTGTTCACAAGAAGCTGTGTAAAGGATAAGAACAGGAAATTGAAAGACATAAAATACTCAAATAGTACCTGAGGTCTCACCTTCTGATAAATGAGCATTTGGGTTCCCAACCTGGCAACCTTACATTTCGGTAGCACTCGAGTCTCCAACAATTTTTGACCAAATTAAAAAAAAGTAACTTGTTGTACATGTGACATACTTTTGGAGGGGCAAAATGGTAATTTAGAAAAGAAATAAGAAGCACGAAAATGTAGGAATAAAGGATCATCTTCTCTCCATACCCCCTCCCTGGTGCCCGTCTTGGTACCCTGAGAGGGGAGGGGCATTGGGAAGGGAACGATGGAGTGGCAGACAGTGTGGGAGGAACTGAGGGGTGAGGAGCTATAATATAGTTCTTTTATAATTTCCAGTGATGTATGTAACATGCAAAACACTTGACTTTCTAGTGTTTTTTTTATGGAATTCGACAATTTGTTAGTGGGGTCTGAAAGGTTGTGAACCAAAATGCTCATTTATGCAAAGGTTGACCCACACATGCTCTTTTTTGCATGTGATAGGCAAGAACATATTGCATACACGGCCATACAAATATACAAACATACACTTGCAAACTGTTGTTATACAATATAGCCAGGACAGTAAACTTGGCTATGATTCTGACTATTCATGAAGACCATATGTAGGAAACAATGAAAATTGAACAAAGTGCTACTAGTTTCCTTTTCCAATATTTACTCAGTTGAAAATTCTTGTGTGTGTTTTTCGTTTCCTAAGATTAATATTTAAATGCAAATTATCAGTTTCCACCTTAATATGGACTCCAACTTTTCAGAAAACAGGGTTGCTGTGTAAGATGTTCGCAAATTCTAAAAAGCAACATACACTTCAATAACATTACATGCATGTTTGGCGCGTGGTACTGAATAGTATAACGAACAAAATTTTAATTTCTATTTCTTCCATGATACTGTCTAATACTATTATATCATTTGTACCAAACATGCTACAAATGTTTAATATTCATGAAAATATTTGTGAGTTGGCCCAGACTTCAGATAGTGACCAATGAGCACAATTACTGGGGAACATGTTGAGATGGTTTAGATACATTTGAAGAAGGCGACTAGAGTCACCGATTAGGAAATATGATTGTGGTTAACCTTGAGGTCTAGGTCGTTTTAAAATCACACAGACCGAGGTTATTAAAAGAGAATTTGGATCCTTGTTGATTTAACTTTGGAGATGGCCATTATTGGAGTTGATTGGATTAAGAGGATCCATGTTGAACATGGGGTAAGTATGGGGTGAGGCTGAATTGAATTTATGACTCACAAACTTATTAGTTGGACAGAACATGATTATCGATTTTGCTCCATCTATTTAAACATAATGGGGAAGTTTTTAGTAGTAATAATTTTGCCCATTCAAACATGCCATGAAAGTTTTAGATTCTATTATGATAATCTTGCTTGTTGCAGCACTAATACATTACATAATCCTTGACAGAAAACGAGACTCTTATGGCAGAGTTGTCTGAGAGGGCTTTAAGAGCTGCAAAACCAAATGCCTCGGCCGAGATAGCTCAACATATTATCTCTCTTGTCGACTTATCAACAGCAAAGAAGTAGAGTATAAGTATCATACATTTGTTCACAAGTGGACAGAACTATCAGCAGTTTCTAATTCCGACCTGCATTCTTTCTGTCACTTAATCCGACTTCGACGTGCTTGATAGGTTGGATTGGATTGGATTGGATTGGATTGTTTAGCACTGTCCATTGATGTCATGTACTTTTAAGTCGATTTTGATGCAGTAAATGGGAGATTGTGGAAATGGTCTTGAACTTCACTTTACCTAAGTGAACATTTTGGTACATAATGAAAATCATGTAACAGAATTAGACTGTTATTACGTTGTTCTTTACTTTTATCTGTCTTTTTTCTTGTGAATCTGTTCATAAAATGCAAGTGATCCCCCACAAGCACGGAATTTTCCTGTTATTCCATTGGGAGCGTTATTGCATCTCTTCCTCAACTTTTCTCATGGTTGAAATCTCAAGTTTCTGCCGAGAATATGATGCATCCTGCATTATTTCAGAAGCTTATGTCGAACAACTTTTGTGAATAGCATATGGTAGAGAAGGTTGGTCTCCTTTTCCAATGCTTTGCCCACCAGCCGACCCTACTTTGCTTGGAGCAAGAACAAAGTCCCTAGACGGAACTAGGAACCTAGTAGGTTAGTTGGGTATCTAATCTACAAAGACGCTTTTGATCGAATATCTTAGATTAAAATTGCTTCTGCAATTTGTCCTATTTGTGGCTTGATCTTATCGTGTTTTATTTAGATAGGAATACTCCTCCATGTTTAGGCCCACAAATTAATTTACTTGTACAATTGTTGTTGACAATAATGGATGACAACATTGATGTTGTCAAAATATGGTTCATTAATTTTAAAATCAATTTTTGAAATGGATGAATGTGATGTTGACAAGTATGATTGTCAATCAATATTAGAAAAAATGATTGTTCAAGTAGCATGACTCATTTCTGTTTCGTCACGATCAATTTTGAACCTCTATTCACATAGTGATCAAGAGTATTGCATCTTCATAAAGTCCATGCTTCTAGCCTCATTGCACTTATATTTTTACACATTTGAAATATAGAAGACCCAAGATTTGACAAGAACCAAGATTAATTTGCCTATAGTCAAGTTTTTTGTAGAAGATGTCCCACAATATTTGTTCTATTTGGATTTCTTCTTGTGCTAATAATATTTATATGAAATCGTATATATGAATTTATTAGCACTGCTTACCGATTCTTGAATACAACTTTTGGGTCTTTTTCTTCGTCATTTAGAACCCATAACCATACTAAACCAGAAGGTTGAGATGGTGCTGTAGAAAAAATTGGTTGAGGACCAAATTATAACAAGGTCCCTTTTTTGAGGACTGATGGTGCAAAATTTTCCTTCGTTTCTATAGAATTGGGAGATAAAATCACACACTTCATTTAACCTACCCAATTGATGTTACAAAACCTAGGTAAAAATGAATATTTTTCAAGAAATAAAACCCATATTTATTTTCAGGAGAATTAAAATTAACAAAATTATCTTCTCTATTCTAAGCCAAAAATTTGCAGAATGCCAAAAATTTATATTCTGCAAGCAGGAGAAAAAGAATTGAGAAATAATTGAAAAGTTGTATTCAAATCAAGTGTAATCAAAGAGAGTGATAACAAAGTTAGATCTTCAGCTTATAGTGATCTCAACCGGAATCTTAGTTTCGACTTTTAATCCACACCTCGGTAGCCGACCAAAAACTGGGATGACTCGATAAAGAAAATTATATATTGGAAATGCCACATCAAAGATTTACCTTTCTATAAAGGATGTTGAATTCAATTCATTGAATAAAAATTGAAAAGCAGAAGGATATATGAGAACTGCCAGTATTATGTGGTCTTGGTTTGAGGCATAGCTGATTTTTTGCATATAGGGCAAATATTTTTCTGCACAAGCCACTGCTTTATGCATTGAATGTGATAGAAGTGTCCACAATTCAGTTTCCCTGTTTCATCATCTGTTTCGTATTCCTCCTGAGAAGAAAAGTCGAAAAAGTAATGCACCCGTGGTGGCCTGATTAGAATAACATGAACAATCGAGAAAAAAGAACAGAGAAACGGGGGAAATCAAGAAAATGCTAGAGATGAATTCTTGAAACGAACCTGACATATACTGCATTTCCTTTCTGTTTCTGTGGGGAAATTTGATGATAAATTATTCAACATTGAAACATTAGTCCTCCTCAAACAGCAGGATATCTCGTTCTCCCTCAGTCCAGTGCTCACATGCCCAATTCTGTCACCAAGTTCTAGTAATTCCTGTTCATTGCACCAAAATAACGACATTCCTGACGAAGTTAAAATACTGGGGGGACCAAACATGCACAAAAATGATGAATGTCTTAAAGAAGCAAAAGCAAAACTAGATAGAACAACGGCATTCATAAAGTTACTGATATACCTCATATGACATGTTATCGACATCAAGTCTCCAACCCCTGTATTCATCGGGTTGTTCCGATCTTCCTTCCATTAGCAGACTACTTTGGAGCATTACAATCTACAACCAAACGTAATGGAACTGTAGAGAGTCAAGCCAAATCCAATCCACAAAGTAATTTGATCTATCCATACCATTATTGTAGTAAAGATCACAATGCTCTATGAATCATTACTGCTAGAGTGTGAGCAGAAGAATCTATTCTGTAAATTCGATTTTCAAGGGAATGAAGAAGAAATACATGGTAGAAGAGCACGATTTTAGTCACATAAGCATAAAGATAACCCACAGATAGAAATTTTTACCAATGAGCAGCATTGCTTTCTTGGTTCTTACCTAAGTCTTCTAATTGAGGATGAAAAAACATTTCTTTATATTTGCTTCAGAATCTTCCTAATCGACCACAATGTTCAATGTAGAAGCAACATGCAAATCTGAATCATCCACATTTCAATCCATTCTAGTTTTAGCATAAATCTGGAGAGCAGTCACCATGCTCAACCTCAAACTATTAGTTCAAACGGTGTTCAGTACACTCCATGATGAAAAAACTCTCTATGAACTTGGCAATGAATCCAATGGAGTGGGGGGAAATGTAAACTCCAAATCTATTGGAATAGGAATTTTATTTTATTTTATTTATTTTAATTTTTTTTAAGGGGTAAGTATACCGAGAGATTCGTTATACAAGAAAACACACTACAATGATATAAAACCAGCAATTCACGTGCTTCAACATAACTAGTCAATTGTAAGACTCTTCCGAGAACTTCCTATCTCAATTGCATAACTTTCAGATCCTTCATATAGAATACAATTTAGGAAGTGGCAATGCAAGGCCGACTCATATTAATGGAGAATCTTAATCTTTAAGCATAGCATGGGTTTTGGTGCATAAGATTTCATGAATTCAATTTACTCAATAATATGAAAAATTGAATCTAAAATCTAAATGCTCTTAAATTCATTAAATAGGATAAGGCTCCCTATGAAAATAAAATTACACTAACCTCTGCAAATCCATCACGAAATTCATGTCTGAGATGGTGATGATATCTAGATCCCGAAAAGTCTGCCCGAGAGCGTTGCATTCCCAAGGCAATGCCAGGATTGCGGAAGGGGATATCTTCAGAGGTCACCATTCTCCTCATATTATATGAAGAATGCTGAAAATGAACAAATAAATTCAGGTTGTCGAATGCATAAAATTACCAACCATATTATGCATAAATAGTTCGAATGAAAAATGTCAAAGTGGGGTACAACCTTAACGTTTTGAAGCAAGTAAAAGGTGAAGAACACTTGAAAGCACCAAAATTACAGCAAACAGAAACTCCTAGATATAACTGAGGAAAGTCTAAAAAATGAAAAAAAGGACCATCCTTACAAATTTATTTAGAAAAATTGTCTTCAACATTTCATTAAAGCCTTGTGTGCACAGAATTTGGTGAAGAATACGCAACATCGAATCAAATTTTCAAAACTGATAAATCGAATTCATTCTAAAGTCTAACTTCAGCCAAACAAATCAAATGACAAAACAAATGTACCAATGCAATCTCGAATCCGAAATTACTCTAATCATTGATACTAGATCAAGATAAACAATTTTTTATTTCTCAAGATTAAAACATTAATACACAACATTCTTTGAACTTCATTAAAAAATCAAGAAATAGATTATATTCGAAATGAAATGATTATAGATCAAATGTAAAATTACCTCCCTCGGACTATGAATAATTCTATGAACCCCATCAGCTTTGTTTCTGGCAGAAACTGCAGGCCTTCTTGAAACAACACAATTCTCAGACGCAGCATCCCCGGTGAGACTAATCCCAGGACCACACCATACATCAGGTAAACCAACACAATTCGATGATGATGAATTTGATGATTGGCCATTGTTATTTTTTACGTTACTTGTGACAGTAACAGCAGCAGTAGAATTATTAGTGTGTAATTTGCTGTTATTATTGGTGATTTTCTTGTTCTTCACCTTGTTAGCATTCCAATTGGCCGATGTTCTTATCACTGCAGGATCTGAGACCTTTGAGTAGGCAGTGCAGCCCAATCCTCTGAATGTTGCTGTTGTGAAGTTCTTTATCTTGGTGGAGGACGTGGGAAGGTGATTTTGGCTTCTGGGCTTTCTACATTTAGTGTGTTCTGCCATTTTTGAGGTGTCTGCAACCGACGCAGACATGCGGCACAGTCTTGAGAGAGAAAGAAGCAAGTACGTGAGATCTTGAGAGGGAGAGAAATTATGGAGTCTCGTATGGAGAATGAATTGTGCGTAAAAATGCTAACAAATTTCAAGAATGCGAATTTGAAGAGTAATACTCCTGAAGGAACGTGTGTGTGAGAGAGGCGATGGGGGTGGAATTTTATGTTCTTGACTTGCGAAGTGATAAATGGAATTCTTGAATGGAAAAGTGAGAATTTGAAGAAGGGAATAAAGAATTTTATTATTATTCCTTTTTATTTTTTGGTACATAGTACTCCACATTGTAGAACTAATTATACAATATATTGAGGTTAATAAATCGTTTTAGTAATTTTTGAATATATAAAAATAAAATTCGAGAGTCGTATACGTGAAGTCATGTCACTATAAGTTAGTAAACAAACACAATATGCAATAAATACATAGAAAAATATGTTGTCGAAAAATATTAAATTATTTTACTAAGGATTTTAATATGTTAAATAAACAAGCAGCAAGAAGCGAAGCAGAAGATCTTATAAATTAAGAGTATGATCAAGAAGTATGTCATCACATAAATCTTCTCATTTTTATAATTAATACAAGCAAAGACTAATAGATAGAACTCTTGTGTTAAGATAAATCACTAGAATTGAATAGTGTAATAAATTTATAATATTGATTTTCTCTTGTTTTATTGAGTTTATATTTTTTAATTTCACATTGATACTGTGGAAAAGTGTCCTTAATTGGTGGAATAAATTTGAAAAAGTTGGAAAAATAACATTGCACCTTATTCTTTAGGAAGAGTTATAATAGTTTGGATCCCTAACGAATTGGAGAATGTTGTATATAGGTACTTAACCTATTGTTTTAGCAGCTGCAGTCTCCAACCTTTTATTTTTGTAGCATTCAGGTCCCAAATAAACATTTTTACTCTTATCCTTGATTTAAATTCAATACCTCATTTGAAAGAGGATTTTATCCTTATATTTAGTTAAAAAGTAAATAAAATAAAATAAAACTTTAACATTTAACATAAAAAACAATTTTTTACACAAAGGTAAAATTGTGAATAGGAGGTTTACATACTACAAAAATAAAAGGTTGGGGGTTGAGAATGCTAAAATATTAGAGTTTGGGACCTACTTCCTACTATTTCACTAAAATGGAGACTTCATCTGTAAATTTTCCTATTCTTTATTTTATTTATTTTTGATGGGTGAGCAAATTGTCATTTGGATTGGTTAGGTGGAGTCTGTTATGTCTTCTTGCATCCTGTTTGGGTGACTAATTGAAACATGAATTAAGCTAGTTATACAACTAGTTTGACATCCTTTGAGGTGTCAAAATCGATGTAACTGATTTGAATAAGTGTTGTTAAAATTGACGATAAAATTGTGTGTCATGTCAAATAATGTATACAAAATTGTCTGCAAAACCGTTGAAACATTGATCTAAACTCTTAAGTTTCACATAAAACTTTTTCTTTAATTTTTAGAAGTGATAAATGGAATTCTTGAATGGAAAAGTGAAAATTTGAAGAAGGGAATAAAGAATTTTATTATTATTCCTTTTTATTTTTTGGTATATAGTACTCCACATTGTAGAACTAATTATACAATATATTGAGGTTAATAAATCGTTTTAGTAATTTTTGAATATATAAAAATAAAATTCGAGAGTCGTATACGTGAAGTCATGTCACTATAAGTTAGTAAACAAACACAATATGCAATAAATACATAGAAAAATATGTTGTCGAAAAATATTAAATTATTTTACTAAGGATTTTAATTTGTTAAATAAACAAGCAGCAAGAAGCGAAGCAGAAGATCTTATAAATTAAGAGTATGATCAAGAAGTATGTCATCACATAAATCTTCTCATTTTTATAATTAATACAAGCAAAGACTAATAGATAGAACTCTTGTGTTAAGATAAATCACTAGAATTGAATAGTGTAATAAATTTATAATATTGATTTTCTCTTGTTTTATTGAGTTTATATTTTTTAATTTCACATTGATACTGTGGAAAAGTGTCCTTAATTGGTGGAATAAATTTGAAAAAGTTGGAAAAATAACATTGCACCTTATTCTTTAGGAAGAGTTATAATAGTTTGGATCCCTAACGAATTGGAGAATGTTGTATATAGGTACTTAACCTATTGTTTTAGCAGCTGCAGTCTCCAACCTTTTATTTTTGTAGCATTCAGGTCCCAAATAAACATTTTTACTCTTATCCTTGATTTAAATTCAATACCTCATTTGAAAGAGGATTTTATCCTTATATTTAGTTAAAAAGTAAATAAAATAAAATAAAACTTTAACATTTAACATAAAAAACAATTTTTTACACAAAGGTAAAATTGTGAATAGGAGGTTTACATACTACAAAAATAAAAGGTTGGGGGTTGAGAATGCTAAAATATTAGAGTTTGGGACCTACTTCCTACTATTTCACTAAAATGGAGACTTCATCTGTAAATTTTCCTATTCTTTATTTTATTTATTTTTGATGGGTGAGCAAATTGTCATTTGGATTGGTTAGGTGGAGTCTGTTATGTCTTCTTGCATCCTGTTTGGGTGACTAATTGAAACATGAATTAAGCTAGTTATACAACTAGTTTGACATCCTTTGAGGTGTCAAAATCGATGTAACTGATTTGAATAAGTGTTGTTAAAATTGACGATAAAATTGTGTGTCATGTCAAATAATGTATACAAAATTGTCTGCAAAACCGTTGAAACATTGATCTAAACTCTTAAGTTTCACATAAAACTTTTTCTTTAATTTTTTTATTGTCTTTAAGCTCTTGTTTGAGCCACATTTTTTTCATCAAATTACATTATTTAACAGTGATTTGACCTCATTTCAACCACACATTTTTAATAAAATAATATTACCGGTAAATCCAAAAATTTTTCTTATTTTTTAACCGTACATTTTCTATCATAATATTATTTCAAAATGTATTTTTTGAAAAAAATGGGGCTCAAACAACACCCAAGTAATTAAATAATTAGTTTAACAAATATTTTTAACTAAAGAACCCTCTCCATCTTCCCTTTTCATCTTTGATAATTGTACTCTTTTTTACAGCAAATTGATCTAATATTAGGTCCATGTTTGGTGTAGTTAAAAATTAATTTTCAGTAAATTTTGATAAAAATTGATGAAATGTGTTGTGAAGGGTTGATAAAAAGTCTTGGTTTCAATGTAATGTGTGATTAAAATTAATTGTTGATTTTAATTTAAATTTTTATCAACTTTTTAAGTTACACCAAATAAGTTTATACATGTCATCGTAATGTGTCTATGATAAATAAAGAACTTTAGGACTATCCTTCATTGGAGGTTGACAAGATAAAGACGTGTGAAAATAATTTGTAATCTCTCATTGTTACTCTATGAAAAATCTATAGCACCAAATGAACGTAATTTTCATATCGAGGATAAACAACTATTTATATATTTCTAATTTTATTCTGTTTATCATTAATCTCAAGTTCAGGGCGAACAATTTAGTCCACAACAAATTTTTCTATTCGAAATCAACTTATTTTATTCCTATTTTTCAACTTCACTTAATGCTTCAGTTATTATTAAGTCAGTAACTCGAGAAAAAGGAGATAAAATTTATGTTTTTGTCAACTAGAGAATATAAACAAGATTACATTGAGATATGAAGTTGGATATTACTTGACATGCTAAGATGCATCAAGGTCGTCTAGCAAAGATTTTTACTTGAACCTTTGCATCTACTTTTCCTCGAAGAATAAATTTGAAGCCATTATTATGAATTAAATTTTAAAATAATAATCAAAATATAAGCAAAGCGTACATAGAATTATAGTGATTCACTCGCTACACATACAAATTGTTCCTCAGAACTCTTAAATCAATTTATTATCGAGAAGATAAGTGTAGAGTTAAATTATTTGTCCTTTGGAGTGGATCTCGAACTTATTACAAGTTTGCAATAGGAAGGGTTTTTCTAGGAAATAGCAATATATGTTTACGTTAAAAATAGTTATCATCATGTGAGGAAGTCTATAATATGTAATTATAGCCCCTCGGGGCATAGTCCAGTGGTGCAAAAGATAGGAGTGAGGTTATCTCACACTTTGCTAGCAGTCGCAGTGTAGGGGTTCGATTCCTAAAATATGAAATTGGACTCTTTGTAGGCGGAGTGTATAAGCAACTCTTATTCCCTTACCTGTTGGGACACATCCTGCGATTTACCTCCTTCATGAAGCTCTAGAGATAAGACGGTAGGGGCTCTCAAGATTGGGGTTCAACCTTTATAATATATAACTATATATGATCAAAGTGAGTGGGGTCCATGAACCCATACTTTCCTTCAACACTCCAATTGATATTATAATTTGTGTCTGCATTATATTTATTTATAGATAAATAAGAATATTTCACAATCAAATACTTTTTCTTTCTTTTGCTACAAGTTACTTTTGTTTATTTTAAAAGTAACTTGTACCTGTAGAAATTCGGTCTATTTGTCGCAATATTGAAGTTTTTCGTTTAAAATGTCTTCTTTATAGCTCAAATAACTTTACTTTTCGCGTCATTTTTTTCCATAAAGACGTGTTCAACTTGATCAAATTGATTCCATGGTTAAAGTTGGTTGAATACGGTGTATTTAGTCGTACTAGACTCGACCCTTCATTAAACGTTCAAATTTATTAAGTTTTATAACTACCAGATATACTTGATACTAGTGTCTTATTTTCATCTTGAACAAATTCATTTTTTTGACTTTTTTCTCTTATGCAACTGTTTCAAACATTGTGCTTACGAAAATGTCTCAATATACATTACTAACTTCAAATTCATTAATATTTTTTAAAATTCGCAAACTAATTATTGTCGAAATGCTAAATTTTCGTACTGTGTCATCAAAATGAGTTTTACATGTAGAATAGTTTTTGAAAAATGAAACACAAATTGTAGGACGTGCCATTGAAATTGTTTATATTTTTAGGGAGGAAGGTACAAATAGTCGAAGTCATGATCTCTGTGAATACTATCATCCTTTAAAATTTGAAAAAAAATGAGGGCCAAATAGGAGCTAAAGTCGTTTTCACTTGACTTTCTTTCATTTGGTCACTTATCGGCGATTATAGGAATAACGTCATATTTGTTTCAAAATTTTCGTCTCCTGACGAAAATTTTGAAACAAATATGATGTTATGGAATATTATTTTTTATGAAGAATAGGTGGTTAAAAAGAAGAAAAGTTTTCGATTTATGTGTAATATTATTTTTATAAAAAATTGTGTAGTTGAAAATAGGAGAGAGAAAAAAAATAAAATTGGGCCAAACATAGGCCTAATTTTAAGAGGTAAAAAAAGTAACTAAAATTGATAATGAGGCCCCTAAAGGAAAATAAAAAATAAAAATCTGTTTCATAAGGCATGATGGCAGTTGTCAATGTAATAACTAATAACCATCACTTTCCGACATTTCATTCAAATCTTGACATCAAATTATGAGTCTTTCACACGTTCAACGACTCAAAATCTCCAAATCAAATGAAAGTTAGTCAATGGCATGTGACATTTTCTTTTTAATATCATCATTGAGTCATTTCAAGATGGTTATTCATCAGTAACGATTTAGATTACAATATTATTTCTATTCTTAAGTCCATGTACTTTACGAAATCTCGTTTGTAAAGAGGTGCATTTGTTAAACTATATTGTTCACTTATCATCTCGACTACATACTGAAAAGAATGTCTTAACATCATCCACTTCGTCCTCGCATTTCTCGCACGAAAGCAAGAATTTCCCAACTGAAAAGTCTTTGATGCGCATATGCAAAATGGCAAGCTAAAATAGGCCAGTATTTCTTGTCAGTAGGTCTGAAATGTAGTGTATTCACGATCAAAATGTTAAATTCGCACGCTGCATCCTCAAAATATGTTATCTATGTAAAAATCGCATTAGCCAAATGCAGTTTTGAAAAAAATGAAATACAACATTTCGGTTGGTTATTCATGAAGTTCAATTTAGCCCCTGTTTGGTTTCCATTCTTTTCTTATTAAAATGAAAAATATGACCGTTATCCATCACATTTAGCCACCAAATTTGAATTTCTATCTCTTGTGTGGGGTCTGTAACGACTATATTTTTCATTCTTCCAAAAATAAGAAACAAACAGGGGTTTAGATTGCAATTTGCGTCTATTGTCGAGTCCATGAACTTAAGAAATGGTCATTTACCACATATCAACCTAGTTTATAGGAGTATACTAAACATTCATATTTCTATTTTCAAATAGTCTTCATGTACAGAAGATTTTCACAGAAGACTTATCAGGTTTCAAATTTGCTGACGTGGCAAGGCAGGAGGAAATTTTTTTAAAAAAAATAGATTAAAAGGTCAAAAACGTGTGAAAGACCATTTCATTTCCAATTCTCTGTTTCTCGCCTTTGAAACCCTAGTGGCAATTTAAATCTGCTTGCCTCGCCGATCGGCACATCCAGTAGCGACCTGTTCTTAGACTCTCTGGTGACCATTTTCTTAGTCGAACTCCCACCATTTCAGTTCTCCGCCTGTGATTGCTTCGTACAAACACTGTAGAAGAGATCTCCGACGAGAAATTTGAACAAACGGCGACGCAACAGTGAAGAACTATTTTGTCCAGATTTACCCCAATCATTGTTGTGAACAAGTAGCATTTTTATGTTTTTTTACCCTTTTTTTACCGTAATCCCCGTTTGAGCTACCATTTTACTGCCTTTTATTCGAACAATGTTGTTCTTTAACAAACCCAGATTTTACTGCTGTAATCATGGTTTGGGTTTCCATTGTCGATTACGAATTTTTTGGCCTGTCTTAATTTGTTTCACATGGAGTTAAAATTTGTTTGTGTTTCTGTGATGGTGGAATATTCGAACAAGGTAACACTTTTATGATTTTGAATCTTCAGTAATTAATTCAGTTTTAGTTTACAGAAGTTGGCATCAGTGGCCGTGTAATGGTGGAATATTGTTTGAGTTCGTGTCTGTTGATGTGTAATGGTGGAATATTGTTTGAGTTTGTTGTGTCTGTAATGTAATGAGTCTTCAAGGTATTGAGTTTGATGTGCAGTTCTGTTTGTAACTTGTTTCTTGTCAATCTCAGAATTGAGGTGCAGTTTCGTGCATAATTTTTTCATTTTGTGTCTATAATGAGTTTATTCTCAATCTCAGGATGAGAGTGCCAAATTTTGGTATTTTTCACAGTTGTAAAAGCACGGCGCATTACTTCAGGGATTGCCCGATAAAAATTCGATACCCATGGTGTCCACGTGGAATTTAAATATATTTTGAGGTTGCAAAGGACACCGATAACCAGGGGAGATTATTCAAAACTTGTAGTGACAACTGTGGCTATTTTGACTGGGTTCAAAACGAAGGATCAAGTGGTGAATCAAGTACCGTTAATGAAGCGGTGAATGTTGTGGCCAACAAGGAAATCGAAGACTTGCCAAGCATGTTTGACTCTCTTGCTGTAATAGCCAAGAAACGAGGCGTCGAGATTTCAATGACCTTGACGTCTCGTAACGAAACAGGACACGCGGAGGAGTGTAAGAAAGGAAAGGGCCCGGCACGGCATGCTTGATAGTTAGTTGTCGAACAAGTTGTATTTGTTTTAGTTATAGAACAATGGTATCGTTTTGTATTTGTATTTGTATTTGTATTGTGTTCGTGTTGTATTTTGTATTAGCTATCGAACGATGGTACTTGGCAGCTATTTACATCATTGTGCTATAATGAGAATTTGAACTGCCTTTTTGTCACAATGTTGTAATGAATTCATGTTCATCTACTATCACTTGAAGTATACAATGTCAGGTGCAATTCCCTACATCCTGCATGAGAAAATGGACAACAATTTGCCATTTTTTTCACAAGAATTTGAGCTTGTTTAATTACATATTGTAATGAATTCATCTTCCAGCGTGCTTAATTCTAGTGAGATTCTTAATAATATTTGTAAAGAGGTTGCTATCTTCTCCAACACCAATAAAGTAAAGTGCAAGTAATACACATGTTAGCATTTCATATAACAATAGTACTTCCAGTAAATAAATGATAAATCTCTCTATCTTGACAAGCAAAGATTTCATTTACTTTGTGCCAACTGGACACAAGCAGGAAAAAAGAGACAAAAATGAGCCAGAATAAAATCAAAGCTAGTCTTTAATATAGATGAAGATATTAAGGATGGTGGTAATACACAAATTGGTGAAACCCCAGCGCCTAAAGTCATCAGCTTTTACAAACGATTCAAACAACCCATAATGAAATCAAAAGCCCAAAATAAAATCAAAATCTTCAACGTTCAAGTGCTAGAATGCTAAAATGTGAAATCCACAAGTTGTTCATTGTAATTCTTGTTGGCGGCCACTGTCACCCTACATTACATAACACCCCAAATAAGGCTCCGAGCAAATGAAATGAATGAACTGAAAATATGAACCCAACGGCCTAGAAAAGTTCATACCATAAAGGATTGCGAACATGCGAACGATGTTAAGGATAAAAACTGTTGAGAGGCGTCAACATCTGATACAACTTCTTCCGCAGTACTATGTTGACCTGTCGGCCGCTTGCCTTTTGTTGACGTCGAAGTTGCCTATATATAGATGAAAATTAATATTAGAACTCCAATTGAAACTCAGTTGAAAATAGTAACGAAATAAAATATAATACCTTTGCTTTCTTTAACGTTAACTCCAACAGTCCTTTTCGTCGAAGTTTCCTTGGCGCACCACTTCGTTTTGATGATACGGGATCTAGTACATTGACGCCGGAACGATTCTGAGAATCCGTCCCGCAAGAGATTACATGACTAGGATGACTACCACAACTCGACTTCAGCTCCTTCGCTTGAAGTTTTATCCAATCCATTACTGCAGAACTCCATTCTTCATCATTCGCAACAAGGTCAGCCACCTCCGAAAATGCTCGACACATATCGTCGTACCTCAATTGTGCCGGAGAACTGACCAACCCATCGTAGTACACTGCCACCCTCGTGTGTGCCCTACTAACATCCCTCCTCCATCTTCGTAGAATAAACTTGTCCGACAAGAACTTGACATCATTACGGATCAAAACAATGAATGCATGCCTACAAACTATCCCTCAGAACTCAAATAAGTGACAACTACAAACAATGTCACGTGTCTCCCTCGTAAATGAGACGAAAAAGGTCCTCTTCGTCCGATGCGCTCCATATAGTAGGACATCCTCCAGAACCTTGTAAATCGTCCCTGAACATCCCTCCGAGATAGATATGATGTCACAATAAACCTTCCCGATGAACTCGTCCTGAACCTCTCTGAACTTTGATATGGTGTACACCTTTTGAAATTGAGTTTCCATATCATAATTTGTGACACACGGCACCATTTGCGCATAAGACTTGAAGTCAGCCTGAAACTCCTTCTCAACCTTGCTCCGCAGTGCTCTTTCGTATTGTTTGAAAAATTGTTTCAATGAAGTCTTTGAATGCACGTATCCATCGAAGAATGCATTCATGCTCTCACTTCGTTGTGTTGTCAACATTCCGGCCCAAAATGTGGTTTTCAAAAAATATGGAACCCAACGACATCTACTTTCAAACAATCCAGACAACCAATCACTATCATACAAGTTGTACCTATCAATCATCCCTTTCCACCATTCTTCAAACTCTTCAACGATCTGTGAATCATACACTAATCCATGTATAGTGGAAAAGATCGACGCTTTATCAACATGATAGTCAAACTTCTCAGGCAACTTCTTCAAGATATGCCAGAGACACCACCTATGCATCGTATGTGGAAATACAATCTGAATCGCATTCTGCAGAGCCCTGTCCTGATCAGTAATTATTCCTTTTAGTGTTTGACCGTACATGCACTGCAACCATGTCCGGAATAACCAGACAAATGTACTAGTGTCCTCATTAGCTATCAAGCCACAACCAAGTAGCATTGATTGCCCGTGATGATTGAGGCCAACAAATGGAGCAAACGGCATGTCATATTTATTTGTCAGGTATGTCGTATCAAAGGTGACAACATCACCGAACTCTTTGTAAGCTTGCCTACACCTGTTGTCTGCCCAAAACACGTTCTTAAGTTGGGACTCCTAGTCTAAATCCATACTGAAGTAAAATCCCGAGCGTCGTGCTTGCATAGTCGCAAAATAAGCTTTTATTGCGGCGACATCTCCATCTCCGAGTCTTAACCGTCGCACTTGTTCAATATAATTTCGACAATCTTTCTCAATGAAAGTCATGGAATCATAACCACATGCTTCCACCATTGCGGAGTTGTAGGTTTTGTGCAAAGGAATTCCCGCCATGTCATTCACTTCGAGCTTTCTTTTGACATTTGCAGTCAGCTATCGGTTGCATCGATACAACCTAGACTTCGAAGGACTTGTTTTATGATTGTACTGCAAGTAGGCTGTATTGACTCTCCATTTTCCATTACTCAATAAAGACGTCGAAATTCTTGCTTTACAATCAATTTGACTGGTTGGTTGTTGCTTCAAAGAATTGCTTGTACCATAACTTCTTCTGCCCTCACGACTACAAGTAAACGTTGCAGATCTCACAACACTAGCATGTCCCTTTTTTTGAATTTTGTTTCCTAACTGGAAAACCCACTTCATAAGTATATTTCTTATAGAACTCAAACACTTCTTTCTCACCATCGAACATCATACCCACCTCGGGCACACTCACACCATCTCCTTCGAACTTATCATTTTCACCTACGTATGCATTGTTCGTGACATTGTCATTCTCAATTTCAACCAATAAATCATCGTTCTCCTCTTCCATAGATTCTAGTCCTGCAATAACATATGCATCACAGAGACATTAACGCATAATCGCCAAAACTAAATGAATTAGTTTATATTGTGAACTTTGAACTGTCGAACAGTATATAATTTGTTCTTTAACTACAAACACGACAAAAATTGTATCTTCACAAAATGCACTTCCCATAATAGATGTTATCTTCACAAACACAAAATTTTTATTATTTAGTTACAGCAACTTCCCTGCCATTTTATGCTATCTATCTTCACAAACACAAAATTTCAAATTTCAACTGCCCAACAAAATTTCTTGCCTCTATCTTTGATTTAGTTCTTTCTCATACTATAATTTGAGCAAATACTCTAAAGGAAAAAAATTAAGGACTGAGTGCAGTCGAAGCCAGAAGTTAGGAACCATAAAATTTTCGCATAAAAACTATCATTGTTGGAGAACGGACAAGGGGACTGGAAGCATCATCAGTTTCTGTTGAAATGGAGGCAAAAGAAATTGACAAAGCTTTAGTAAAATAATGAATATACATTTCCCCATTCTGCCATCCAACTCCATATCTCAAAGCTGCCGTCGATTGATTGGTCGAAGATAGAGAACGGACCGAGCAAAGGAGAAGCTTCAGTCGACGCAGTCAATGATGGGGGAAAACAAAGAAACAGCTTCAGTCAACGTCGTCCATGCTGCGGGAAAACATTGTTCAGAGATGGAGAACGGAGGAGAACAACCGAGCTTCAGTCCACGCCGGCGCGGTGGGGGATTTTTACGGATAAATTTACTGCTGTTTTCAAATTTTCAAATCTGCGTCAGAGATGGAGAACGGATGGCAAATGTCGGAGATGGAGAACGGACGGCAATAATTTTTGGTCCATGCCGACGGGCTGCAGAACGGGCGACTGATAGGGCACCGATTTGGTGGAGGGAAATGTGAGACTAAAGTGTAGTTTTCCCACGTTTTGTTTCACTTTTCCCCCTTTTTTTCACTTGCCATGTCAGCAAATTTGAAATCCGATAAGGTGCCTGTGAAAGTCTTCTGTACGTGAAGACTTATTCTTCTATTTTAGGTCGATCTAGTTTCCTACCGTAAATAGAGGAATCCAAAGCCAATTTTTTGAAAGAGATAAAGACAGAAAATGTGAGAAAAATCTTGTAATCTTCTTCTCCACGACGGAAAAATGTACATGAGCAAGTATACATATACAGCTCTGACATTCATGCAAACCATATAAAACTTAAATAATGTTGCGTGTGCAGCTTTCCCACATTAAGAAGGACAGTGCTGGGTATACAGGCCCAGCACCTTACAGGTCACATGGGGTGGGGTCGATTTTTCATTTCTCTCTCTCTCTCTCTTTTTTTTAATGGTATTTGGGCCCGCGTGGGGCCGATCCCATGTGAGGGGTCGGTAAGACCCCTACACAGGGCTTTGTTGCATTAAGAATGACATCCTCTTTGTTTTCAAAAAATTGTGGGCGGAAAAACAGTTTTTTTTTTTTTTTTAACTATCTAGTGTTACCATGTGGTACAATGTGAATAATGATGTCAAAGATAATTTACGTGTACCATGATTGATAAAACTTCGAGTCAAAACACTTTCGAAGAAAACAAAAAACAGACAAAATAATTCATTTATTGCTTACATTTTTAAATGACAAATTTGATAAAATCTCGTGTTTAGTTCTTCTTATTTCATCTAGTAGTGATAACTATATCAAACAACAGAATAAAAATGTGGGAAATCATCTTGACAATGATTTATTTGATTTTTTTCTCTTTCACTGGTCCTCTCGGAATTTTCCCTAGAACTTCAACGTCAAACTTCTGGTACCGTGTTTTCATCCGTCCGTTAATTTTACTTGCAAGATCATCCACTTCATCCTCGTATTTCTCGTACAGAAACGGAAGAATTTCCAAGCAGAGAAGTCCTTGATGTACACATGCAATAAGAGGAATTTTGCGAGATTCGAAACCGGCAATGATAAATAGATATAAATATAGCAAAAAAGAGGGAAGAAAAAGTCAGCGGTGATAAGTTATAGCGAAATAAGTATTAAAATATATTTGTATTTGTCAAAGTTGAAAATAAGTAAGTTACTTATTTTGGGAAGTATTTATAAATATATTATATTATGGATCTCAAGAAATGTGCTAATAGTTTTGCTGTATTATAAACAATTTATAAACATTAGCTAAATATGAGCTAATTTTGATGATAAGGTTATTTTCAAATTAACCCTTTTACTCGAAAGAAATGAGAAAGCAACAAATCCAACTATTTTTTAAAAATAAGTAACTTTTAAATTTGGCCCTAAAAGTATTTTTTTAGCTTCATAAACTGGTGCATAAAGATTTAGCCTACCCCAAAAGTCTCCATGACTAGCCAACTTTAAATTTTAGCCCACCCTAAAATCTAATCCTAGTTCTGGCCGATCTTTACTTACCGAAAAACAGAAGATTTAAGGTGCTGACAGAGCTTCCAATAACTGAGATTACCCAGAGAGAAACAAGTATCTGTAAAAAAAAAAGTGAAAACATGATTATAATTAGGATAAGTTAAGGAGAATCTGTGGAACGGTTAAGTTGGTTTTGTTTTGGAGAAAAATATTACTTAATTTGCATACCAAAAAGAATAGTTTTGGATTATTTCCACTTGCAACATAATGAAGCTCTGATAAGAAGTCGTTAATTTTTTTGTGAAATGTTGAAGCAACATCTCTGATTGCAGGCTCTTCTAAGATGGTTTCGGGAAGTCTGGGTGGCTTCCTGAAACAAATCAATGAATTGTTTAGAGACGTAATTTAAATAAATATGTCTATATTTACTCGACTAACTTGACGATAAGATGATTTAATGTGATATTAGAGAAGATAGAGATGTAAGTTCCAAATTTTGTTGTTATCCATTTACAAAAGTTGAACGTATGACCTTTAACAAAAGTTGAATTTAGCTTACACGTGTGTTGAAGACATGAGCATATTTGGCGATAGTGCTTTTCAAATAACTTTTTATTTTTAACCATCTTCAGATAACTTATTTTTTCTTTCTTTTGAGTAGAAGTAAGTTTTTTTTTTTTTTTTTTTTCAAATGTAACGCTTACCTTGTTATCAATGTGTAAAAAGAAGCAATTTATCTTTAATCTTGATTAATAAACTACTTATTTACTTCTCATTAAACAAACTTACAAATGAACTTTAAGCTTAGAAAAACATGCTTATAATCTTATAACTATATTTGTCTCGTCTATAACTGCTACAACTAAAAGAAGTTTATTCCGTATAAATCTTTAACATAAAGATTTGGAGAGATGGTTAAAAAAAGATATATTTCAAGAAACTATACAATATTGGACAAGATAAAGAACAAGAAAACTAAGAGTATGTTTGATTGACATGGAAAATATCACTTAGAAAAGAAAATATTTTCCATCTTTTGTGAAAAATAAAAACCACCTCTACCCAAGAAAAATATTTTCCTTAAAAACAAGGAAAATTAGACATATTTTCAAAAGTTGGAAAGTATTTTCCATGAAAAAAATAGCAATCTATTTTCAAAAGTTGGAAAGTATTTTCCATGAAAAAAATAGCAATCAAACACTCCAAGTAGGAATTTGGGTGGAAAGCTGATATTTTTCATGGAAAATAAATGTAATTAAACACACTCTAAATGTTATCTTCTGTAGAGCTATCTATTCTTACCAAACCGACGTTTACTTGTGTAAAAATTAAAATTATGGACAAGAAAATTCTGTTGAATACAAAGTCTTTTATTGGGATTTACTTGATATTATCCAATTTAGTACAACCCTAATGATTTTTCCTATTTTTCATTATTAGATTGCCTTACCATTTGAAAAAATCTGCCCCTGCTGACCAAATGAAGACAACTAGCATTGTAGTGATGAAAATGTGACAAAACAGCGTCACAAAGGTGTATTCCACAACCTCAAAAAGAAACCATATTGCTGCACTTCCAAAAAGAATTGCAGCAGAAACTCTTGTGTCTCTCCATAACAGCACATCAGCAACTGTAAATTCAATTCATAATCACTTATGACAAACAAAAATAAGCAAGAAAAAATTGACATAGTATTAGAGTACATTTGGATACTTGTTTCTAGTTGTTTACAAAAGTCAAAAAACCCGTGATTTTGGTCAAACAACGAACCATAGGATAGTACCTTTTCCTCCTCCAAGAACTGCATGTATCGGCCTTTCCCGACCAAATAACCTTGTCCTTTGCGCTGAACCACTGTCAGAACCATACGAGGAAGAATCCATGGTGAATTTACGAGTTAATGATACAAGACGAATAGCATTTTGTAAAGAATAGATTTGTTATATAAGCTATCATGTTCTGAACTTAGTAGCTAAGAAAGTTGCAAAGGGAATGAAGAAAGGTATGGCTTGAGCAAGTTTTCCAAGTAAACTATATATGCTTGCTTTCGCAAGATCAGATTACCCTTTTGGACCTTTGTTTATAGCATTGCTTTTTGCATTTCATTAATTAATAGGCTGCTTTTTTTCTTTGATGTCTTAATTTTCATCCTTTCTTAAAATATAAATTTTCGACACAGTCCGACCAAGATTTTTGCTATTATTTTATAGCACCGTGACATGGATACTTTTAAAACATGTTTGTTTGATACGTTATAAATATAATGTACAAGATTTTAATATTTTTTTCTTTCATGGAGGTGTGGTACCATCGAGGGTCGATTTTTTGTTCTGAATAACACAAGGGAATATAGAAAGTGCAGAGGAAAGGGTACACTAGCAAGGGACATGGAAAAAGATGGAATAGAAGGTATGGGGCACTAAAAGTTTGGGGTACCTCTCTTGCAAAAAGAAAATTTAATAAATATTTGAAATTTCTAGAACAAAAAAAATTTGACAATATTCTAGAACTATTTTGATGCAACATTTTGTAATAATTTGCATGTGTTCCATTTGACACAATGGATAAGACTAATATTTGATACCTTCGAAAATGAATTAATGTATCCTGTAATATCGAGTATGACATAATATTACACATAAAAGTTTTCGTGCAACGTTGCATGGTAACATGAATAATTCAGCTTTCTCGCTTGAATATCAAAAACCACTCTAGTATTACACCGTTCCAATCTTCAGATTCCAAACTTTGTCAATTTTCACTCTTGAATAGGCTTTTTTCTTTACTTATAAGTAAAAAAAGATTCTTATTTTTTATTGTAACAATAAGATATAATTACTTTCAAATATATATATTTTTTAATTTTAAGATTTTCTTATTTCTTATATGTAAATTGTTTAAACTCAATAAAGTTGGTAGTTTTTCGTACTAAGAACCAACCTGGGCCATCTGATTCAGCAATCTTTCGAGGCCAAATAAAGACAAGTATTTTTATTTATGGAAAGTTATCCCTATAATGGAGTGAAGAGAAGTAAATTTGAACCATGTATGATACATTAGACTAATTACTAAAGATTAACTTTACTAATCTTATTACTATTCCAGTTGATCGAATTTCCGACTCCCTGAAATTCCCATCAAATTTCAAGAAACCCTTTTTACGCCTGCATGGCAGCAGAGGCACCAGCTGTAACGCCGTCTGCGGTTTCTGAATTTAATAATTTGATGGAGACATTCACAATTCCCACAGTAGTCTCAAGATGTTATCTCTAACTAAAAAAAGTAAATGCTTGAACTTGATTGAGAAGGAACTCCTCTTATTAACTTGAACCTACTTCTTATTGCACCCCAAGGCTTGAAAAAATGGGAAATATGGACTTTCGGATGTTAAGGGATAAATTCCACATCGATTAAATAACAAAATATAGACAACGTATGAGAGTTTGGATTACTCTTCTTAATAACATTAACATTTTAAGATGAAATTTCGATCTTTAATATGGTATCAAATCCAAACTCCAATGAACAATTTGATCTAACGTGCAAATGAATTTCAAAATTGATCTACTTAAACAAGCCACCATCTTGTGGGACTTGCTAAAGGATAAATCGTACATCAGTTAAACGCTGAAATATAGACCAACATTTAAAGGATTGTATTACTTCTCTTAATAATATTGACCTTTTAAAATGAAACTTTAAGTCTCAATATTGAATTGAATTGAATAATGTGTGTGGGGTGGGGGAGGCTCCAATTCTTCCGTGCATTAGGGCATCTCCAATGGATGCAACAAAACACCAAATGTTACCAAAATTTGGTGCAAAAACTCTCCAATGTAGCATCAAAGTTTGCACCATTTTGCACCAAACAGTGCAAAGTTATATTTGCCAATTTTTTTCTATTTGCCAAAGTAACTGATGCAAGGTATTTTTGTCATTCGTGTTATATATTTTTTAATACAATAATTTTCACCATCATTATTATTCTCATTATTTGCATTTTAAATAAATTTTAAATGTAAAAAATAAAAATTAATGAATTAATTAAAATAAGAATATAAAAAAATAAATAATTTTTCAAACAAATAAATTATTTAGAATCAAAAAAGAGAATAAAAAGATTAAACACTGTTCATTTGGTGTAAGTTTTGATGTAATGGTGTGAAGATGATTTTTAGTTTGATCCAAAATTTGGTATACAAAATGGTGTGAATTTTGATATAGGGTTGGAGATGGCCTTACGGCTAATGATCAGCATACTGCATTAGCTAAAGTTACAGACAACTGTGAGTCTCTGAAGGAGTCCTAGAAAGCCCTTGAAGCTGGCTTTGCAAGAGAGTGAAGGGATTCTTCCCGACATGCATTCGCTTCTATGAGTAATAAAACCCATTAATTTTAGGAACTTGTTTTAATTACTTTCTTTAGTGTGATGAGTTCTTGCCCAGAACTGAAATGCTAAATATCTTAATTACTGCTGTCCATGCAAATAAAAGGTTGCTTGTTAATTAGGCTAAAACTAACTTGGTCTATTCCCTTGATGCTGTATCCGCAGATAAACAAATTGGACTTGATCACTCTCTATGGTAATTTTCCCATTTTATTTGAGTCTAACAAAAATAATCCTAATCTGATTGTACCTACGTCTATACTGTCATGTTGTTATATACTCGAACACATGCATGATCCGTAACATTGTAATAGCGATCATGTTGGTACCAGAGCAATCTACGGTCTTCATTTCAAATCTCACAAAAACTTGTTTATTTGAATTTTGCATATCGCGACTTTGATTAAATAGTGATTCTGATGCACACTTGAGGGTTGTATCAATATAATACTAATTAATTAATGAAAAAAGCCCCCCTGACCCAAAAATGAACGACAGAGGCTTTGACAGCCTCTTACAAGCAACGGGCCCCACATGAATAAACAATTCCAACAAAAATGTAACCCCCACCCCTATTGTGAGTGTTGGTCAGAGCTTTTGTCAGTTTTTTTGGTCAATGTAGTGTGGTTGTTAATTAATTTGTTTCTTCTCTAGTCTCTAGCAAATCCCAAGAAGAGTAATTATACCAAGGAGAACTTATGCAGCAGAAACAATCGACATTTCTCCTAAGTACAAGTTTATTACACAATAATGGACATGAATAAACATTAATGAACAAGCTTCTATTTCTTTCGTAATAGTGTTAGAATATCCAATCCTCGCAAACATATGGAACCAGCCTCGTTTGGTCCCCATTAATTTTCATTTCATTACATTCCATTTTTCTCTTTTCTATTTTCAACCACACAATCTTCTATAAAATAATATTGCGCGTAAACCGAAAAAATTTCCTTCTTTTTCAACCACTTATTTTTCAAAAAAAAAAACACTATTCCAACCATTTTCATTTCCATAAAATGGGGGCCAAACGGGGATAGCCATTCACTTCATGCAAATATTTGTCTCCATATGGAGTTAACTGTACTGCCCTCTCCCAAAAGCTACAAACTGAAAACAGATCATTCATTGTAAAACTTTCTTATTCGAGAAATTGATAAGTTAATGATTCGTATACTTCCGAATCAGTCACGTCATAATAATCAAACAACCAAAGGGGATTCTGAAATCAGAAGCCTTCGAAATTCATATACATATAAGGGACATGAAATTGTAACAACTTACTCACAAAAACAATTGTAATTTCTCACAAATGAAGCAGATCTGATATCTGGTTCCATCCCGCAAACCATGGCCTCTTATCAGATGGAAGCACAAAGTTAAGCTCAAACATTTCTTTCGATATATTTCCACCTTGACTTAATCCAACAAGCTTTGCAACTATTTCAGCACTCTCTTGTATATGCTTTTCGTCATGAGGATTGGTCCACAGTTTATTTATGAACTGCATCTTCCTTTGTTTTCCTTCCAATGGAACTTCCCATTTTAGGTATAGTTCATCTCTTTCCTCCACTGTCAAACGATTTGTCAATCTCTTTGCAAGAAACTCTCTTTCCCTCTTCAATGCTTTAAGACTGATAACATATCAAACTACTCGTTAAAATAGATTGTTCAGCATTTATGATCAAGAACGGAAAAAAAAAAAAAAAATCATTTTTGTTAAAGGAAGAAGAAAGGACCTTGAAGATAATGAGATTGTGGGCTCATTTTCCACACGAGCTGGACTTGCATCTCCAACCTCCTCCAGGTGCTGCTGCAGCCATGCTAAGCGCCTCAGCTCGACTTCCATGTATATCTGGTCAGAAGGGTCCCCCTTGAATAGCAGATAAAACTGTGTTCTGTGAATGATGGAGACATAGCAAACATCCCATAACTCAATGATTTGCTGCCTTTGCTCCCTGAAAGTTACATGCCATGAAGCCGGGGACTCTTGTATATCGACCATGTTCTCATCATTCTCCAAATTGTATCCAGCTGCTTCATTTGCTTCAAGCTCAAGCACCTGGGAATAACATGGGAAAGATTCGATATACGATAAACTACGTAGGACACAAAATGGTTTTCCATGAACAGATAAAATCATCTTTGATACAGTTTGAGGAGATCTCTTAGCTTACCTGACAAACAAGAAGCTGTTTCTGGTATTGCAATTTGGCAACGCGTTCTTTAAGTTCAGTGACGTACGCTTTTATGCTTCTAACATTCTCTTCTGCTGCATTTTGAAACATCTTCTGCATTTTCCTCATGTTGACTGAACTTGAACGCCGATATGGAGTATTTTCCTTTGATGAGACGTCTCCACCTTCACTCTTTGTAGGAGTCTCTTTCTCAGAGACTGGCTGAGTTTCACCAGACACAGCATCGTCAAATTCTGGAGCTCTATTTTCAATCTCAGAATCCATTACTTGCCGAGAAACTGACAGAGGTGAACAAGGAGATTTCAAGAAATTTTGCTTGTTGAGGCTATTACTCGAAGCTAATGGAAGCGACTTCTTCTTTTTTGATGGATTCTTGGCCTTTGGCATTGCA